CAGCAAATCACGTGATTTGCTACACGCTGCAGATGCTCTAACGAGACCAAATCAATGTTCAGTGACTTTCAGATATATCATTTGATATCTGAATAGCTTAAATTAATATAAGTATTATATAAATATATATTGCATTGAAATTATTTTCATATATTAGACATTATATTTCAGTTTCATAATTTTTAAAACAAATGAGATTGTCCCCCCGCTAGAAGATTAACTAGGACCTGAGACAGAATATTATCGATGGCCCAAAGCCCCAATCCGAAGATTAACTAGGACCAAACTTGGACCAAAGCCCAAACAAGTTGTCTTAAATTTTCCATCTTTCCCCATAAAAAATTATTAAATGGAAGTGCGTCAATGGCCTTTGCTTACGGAGTTCGGCAAATTTTAGCATTATATTAGTCAAAAGAAGTTAGGGTGCTATATTCGTTTGGATCCGTATTAATTCAAATTTTGTAAGTTTTTTTTTTATTTCTTAGCATAATATGCTGCTTCTTGTGAGTTATGATTGCATTTGCTGGATAACCGGCCATCAGGTGTGTAATTTCGGCTTTGTTTGTTTCATTTTCTTGATGATTTTTTTAAATTAAAATATTAATAACTGTTCTATCCCAACATAACTTTTTACATTTCTTTTTTTTATTACAATAGAGGAGATCGAAGGCCTAGAGTCTTACATTTTGGGGGTATGAAACCCCTATTATATCATGTTGTAACCATGGCCTAACGCCTGACGACGGTACATCAAACCTCTGTAATCCAATTGGACCAAGGGTAACTTAAATTTCTAATACATCTAATACATTTCTAATATATTTTTTTATATTTTCAATAACGAAACACTAAAAAAACGAAATAAACATACCCTTTGTAACTTAGACATAATGTTATAGGAGTATCATATTCTTGTTATATGGTTGTGTAGTACCTTGGACGAAAGTTCTATTTGTGATTAAAATAAAAAAAAATTGTGTAATTCTTTATCGACAAATATTTTTGTCATTTTCGTGTACTCATACCAGTATTTCAACAAGGTTAAATCAAGCCGAAGTAGAAAAAGAGGGGACAAAAACCCTAAAAATTTCGAAACATGCGCCGCGATTGATCTTGCCTGTTTTGTCTCCATTTTCGCGATAAAATAAGACCATTAAGTAATTAATCACCGATTTGAAAATGTCATAGCCATGAAGATCGATTGATTTCTTCGTTTTGCACTGGTGACCTCCTTCCCTCAAAGTAGCATATTCGTCCCAAAAATATGATTTATTTTGTTATGTCATTTTAATTTAACGAAATGTACAATTTTTGTAGACGAAACAAGTAACGGTTTTGGATACAGAAAAATGCACAATTTGCACGAATGCAACAAATCAGATGTGTGGATTAATTGAATCGTTGGCGATTAACTAGTGAATGCCAATCTGTCGAAGTGAAAAGGTTGAATACTTCTTAAGCAGTTGAGGTATGTCAGTTGGTTTTATTCTACCAATGGAGGAAAGCGTCACCTCAAATGCTAATCAACCATCATTTAGTCCATTTTTTTTTTGGTTACAAAAAAGAAGTATGTTGAAACCCTTATTATATCATGTTTCAATTATGGTTTAACTCCTAAAGGTGGTGTTTTAAGTAATTGTAAACCTTTAGTACCTTGAGCCGCCAATAAAGCCATATAATCTGCTGCAAAGTTGGCTTCTCGATATATATAATCAAACTCTATTATCCAAACCCTTTTCAAAAACTTCCGAATTCCTTGAACTAAAAATGTATTAAATGTATCATTTAGTCCATTTGATAAATGTATTAAGTCTAGGTAAAAGTGAACACGGGATATGTGATCTACTCCCTCTGTCCCATAATTATTGTCCAGTTTGAGTTTTGATTTCTAGTTCAAATTGTACTAAAAGTGAAATCTCAAACTGGACAATAATTTTGGGACAGAAGAAGTACTAAAAAACTATAACTTCATCCCTTATTTTCATTTCGGAAATATTGACTATTGAAAACAAACGAAGCATGCGCACGCAATGATTGAGCAAAAATATCACATCTTTTTGCTTATTCTTACGGGGCCGTTCAACAGACTGCTAATTACTGATAGCGGTTTGATTAAGTTTGGAACACGAATTCGAATAACAGTACATCGTCCTTCAATTTAATTAAAAGATGATAAATATTCATAAAAAATCCACGTAAAAAAAAAAAAGAATAAGGCGTGCTAGGTTCGAGCGAAATACGAAATTTCTCTAATTCGTTCATGTAATTTATGGTTCCATGTGTTGCGAAAGATAGGTTGAGGTTGGCATCTTCTGCAATAAATAACATACTGAATTGCTAATAAAACAAAAATGTGACATGAAGTACCAACATTTGACTATGATGATCACTATACTTAACAAGATTTGATCTTGTTGGCAGTCGAAACGTTCCTTTTGCATGCATGAAAATCAATGCAGGGCAATGGAATCGCAGGATATATAGCTAATTCCAGGTTGCATGCATGCATGCATGATCATATATGGCTTAACTGATTTTACACTAAACTTCAACACAGCCTTTGCACATTTTCCTAAATTATTTATTTTTGGAACGGGGTTTTTGATGTATCATATCCTCGTCCTGTGTTCATTTCATGTACTAAGGTACGTACGTCTCTTTTATTATACAAAGAAAATAAATAAATAAATAAATAACAATGGACCTAGCACTTTTTCTTTCTTATAGAAATTTTCTAAATACTCTATCTGTCTCAAAATTATTGTCCAATTTGAGATTTCAGTTTTAGTACAATTTAAACTATAAATAAAAACTCAAACTGGACAATAATTATAGGACGGAGGGAGTATATTGTTCAACTGGCCTTTGCAGTTACTTTTCACGGTTTTTTCTTCTCATATCGATTACTCCCTCCGTCCCATAATTATTGTCCAGTTTGAATTTTCACTTTTAGTACAATTTGAACTAAAAATGAAATCTCAAACAGGACAATAATTATGGGACGGAGGGAGTACTTTTTTTTCAGAAAAATAATATAAAATAAAACTTTTTTTTTTAATTCCTCAATTTATTTTTTGAGAGTAGCATAACATCACGTAAATCTCACAAACAGCTCTTGCTTCTTTTACCACAGGCGCAAGATCCCTCCCCCACCCTAGAAGACTTTTAGCTATGACTTCCACAAGCTTTGCAAAGTTTTTGTAATTCCTTTTTCCTCCTAAATTTGCATATAGGCTAACGGCTGGGCACTTTTTTCTTCTTCTTGTATTGTTATTCCAAAATAATTATCGTGTTTCTTTTATGTACTACTATTTGCTATAAATATAATCCTCACATAACCTTACTGTTTTCACCTTTAGACAGACTGAATTTCAAATAGTGTAAACTTTGTCGGAGAAAAAGCTAACACAATCCAAATTTGCCCAACCCCCCGCCTAAGTATCAAAAGCCTTTTCTAAGATAATAATTTAAGAGTATAACACGCACTGAAGTATATTTGTATGATTGATTACTAGACTTTATCTTTCTTCCAAAAAGAAAAACATATATATATATATATATTATACATCCAGACTGATTTGTAAAAAAGTTAACGTTGAAATAGCCTTAATTATAATCTAAACCTTCGCAAAAGTAGTTTCGAGAAAACAATGAAGTTTTGTCTCGAATCCTAATATCTATCTGACCTGATAATAACATGAATATCTAGTCCTATATTAACTATCTAGTCTTTTTGTATATGCTTGTTGGGAAGTCTTCTCTCTTGTTCAGGTTAATCAAAGTCATATTCTAGCTAGTTACTCTAATTCATAAATAAGCAAATAAACAGAACACAATAATTTACTGTACAAACATGATAATAATTTTGGGACGACGTTAAATGTATGCACTAGGGACTGATCTTCTTGAAGACTTTATGGCATCGCGATACTAAGCTAATTGTCTCATGTTCTTGGATTATGCCATTTTCTGTAGGCTGGGTTGTCTAAGGAAATGACCAAACCTCAAACACTTCAAACAGATTCAACTGTTCAAAACCATGAACTACATCTACTCTTAGAGAAAATCCAAGAAATTAACCTAGCTAAACCTCTTAGGAATTCTCCAAACTCCAAAGCTCCCCTTATATAAACATGTATGACAAATTTTGTACGTAATTTTGATTGGGATTTGATAATCACCTTCCATTAATAAAAGTTATAGGATTGGTCATTGGCTTGAAGAGGGAAATGTCTTTTTGTCTGAATGGATTTTTAACTGTTAAGGTCAACGTCTTCAATACTAAATTAAAAAAAAAATAAAAATAAAAATGGCAAAAATTATGAACTTTGGATCTAGATAATGATCCTGTCCTAAAATGGGGAGAACAGGAGACCAAAGACGTCATTCTCAAACACTGTTTAAATGAAAGCCTGGATGTGTACTTTAATTGTATCCTCGGAAAGTTCTTGAATTAAAGTTTCTAATCATAGTAGATGATGAAGTGTAACTAGCTAGTTATTTTCAAGAATCTAGAAAAAAAAACAGTAATTTACACTTTTCCAATAATAATTAGTACCAGCATGCAAGAGATCCAATAATCACATAAAAACAAAAAAAGTTCAGATCATAAAGCGTACTTTCTTCCGTCCTAGAACAAGAACTCTTGTTAGTTCCACAAGCAGGACTAACAAATATTTAATTGTAATTTTGGGACGGAAAAAGTACAATTTATAATTGATTAAACCTCAACTAACCTGGCTGCTTTGCTCACATTTTGATACCATTTACTTTGAGGAAAAAATTGCTCAAGGAAGCAGCTTTCTTTCTTCATCAACCAGGCATTAAAAATGAATCAGTTCCTGTCATCAGTTAATCATCCTACCCAAGGAGAGTCAATCCAATTCATAACTATTAACGAAAGAAAAAAAAAAGGTAGTTTACTTACGTATGGGAAAGAAACTTCAAATCTCTGAACTTCATTAATTCATTCATTAAACTAATTATAAGCTATCTTGAGTCTGCTACAAATTGAAAATTCGTCTAGAAAAAACAAAACAAAAAACAAATTAAAACAAAGACTCTGCTTCTTCTTTCTTCTTCTTCTTCACAACAATGGTGAAATAAGCCTAAAATTCATGGATAGGGAAAAATAAATAAAAAGCTAAATATGAAGATACCTAAAAATTTAAAAAACTACTCTATTAAACAGAAAAAAAAGGAGAAACAAATAAACATAAATGAAATATTCCTCAAAAATTTCGTCAAGAAATCTCACAAATGGAATATATATGAAGAGGGCTAGCTCTAAATTTGGCCTTGATTATTATGATTATTAGTACCACCTGATCTATCACCTTCAATCTCTCTATACCGATTCAAATACCTCTTGAGGGGTCCAGCATAATCATCAAAGCCTAATGTCCCTAGAGCCCAGCAAATATCGTCGCCGTTCACCGTCTTCCGCCGTTCTTTCCGGCACTTCTCCGACGCCTCGCTCGTCACGAAGCTAATGAACTCCGACACGCATTCTTGCATTGTTTCCTTGGCTTCTTTCGAGATCTTCGCGTTTTGTGGCAATATTTGCTTCATGATTCTCCCAACGTTTGCGATCGGAAGCAAACGATCTTGTTCTTTGATTCCCGACGACCCTTCTCCTTGTTGAGTGTTAGTCCTGGAAGAAGGACCAATATGAATGTTTGTAACATAATCGTCTTCCATTTTTTTGGAGGAAGAAAGAGATTTTGCGGAGGAAAAACCAAAGGGAAAAAAACGCACACACAGACACACTTGGTGTGTGTGTTCTTGTCCAAAAAAAAAAATATAGATTATGGTCAAAGCACACTCCACATATATATACATGATTACTTCTTACAACCCAAAAAAACCTGTGCACAAAAAACTTTTTAAATAAAGTTGATGTAATAATTAATCGGAAACTTGGAAAATTAGGCTAAATGAGATTTGTCCACCTGGATGTTACAGTACATTTGTATCATTAAAAAAATCAGTTCATTGGGAAAGGTAAATTTAGGGAACTGTAGTTGTTCTTGCTCCCTTTTCTTTAATCCAAAACATTAATCTTTTTTAAAATGTATTCCTAGTTGTAAAGGTATCTAGTAAGATTACTTTTAAGTCATACGGGCTACTTTCATAGTATACACGAGGTTTAGAGGTAAGAAAGAAAATTTGTTGATACAATATATATACGAAGATAAAATGCAAAGGTGCATTCAAAACCTCTAAGTTAATATGTTATTTTCTATCCTAAAAAATAATATACGTTGAAATTTGTAATTTTTGTTAATTATTTTTTTAAGACAGATAACTTTTTTTTTTAATTTTCTATCGCACAATAGAATTTAGGTCCATCATATTATTTAGTACGACAGGTATGACTCTTATTGTATGCTGTAATCAATATGTTAAAAACAACCTATTTTATGTTGCATGTGACACAACATGACTTAAAAGATCTACATGTGTTCGATTTATCTTGTCAAAATAATATTATTATCTAAGACACACACAAAAAAAAAATGGCATCTGATCCCCTAAATTGAAGTAATGTAATCATACTGTCACCAAATTAATCAACATCTATTATGAATGTAATACAAGTAATAAACATTTCTTTACCAGTTACCATTGTGTTCTTGACACGAAGTGTGCACAGTACAACGGGAATAATTTTTTTCCTACAGGGAAAATCAACATTACTTCTTGTATGAGCCTTTTGATGATGATGAATATTTGTAGAGGGTTTAAGCATGTGGCTGGCCGACCAGGGTCGGCATTAAAGGTGGGACAAGTGTCAAACTTTGTTTTATTGGAAAACCCTAATAGGAAAGCAGAAGAAAAAAAGAAAAAAAAAATTCTATGAAACGCAATTGGAGCACACCATCCAACCAAAACATTTTAGATTGCGACATAATATTCTGATAATCTGATTGGGTAAATCAACTATATATATGCATATAATTAACATTTTGCTAATTGGAAAACGAAAGGGAGGATTACAATAACTTGATTGGCACGCCAATGGGATCGTCAGAATGTGCATTTATATAAACTTAATCATATTATTAGCTAAATGAACTTGACTATGGTGGTTGAAGAGTTTCAGTCTAACAGTCTTGAAAATGTGTTTTATACTTATCTATATTTTTTTTAATATCCATAAGCGGTACGGATACTTCTTGGCACATGCATGTATATGTTGATGTCTTATGTGTTTATTTTAAACGTTTAGATCGTGAAATTTCGCAAAGAAAATGTATCTATGCCTTATTCCTATCTAGGTTCGAAAAGAAAGGAAGAAAAAAAATTTTTTTTTTCCCCAAACGTCGAAGGACAAGTTTTTGTTGTTATTGTTAGAATTTTGTGTTCATTATGGAAAGGCAGAATATCATATGAGTTCCAATAATCTTGGAACTGGTGGTTGATAAAACATATGTACTTGGACCAGCTGATCAGGATAGGAATTGTATGTGTCACCTGGCCGGCAAACCCCCCATTACAAAAAAAAAGCAGTAAGTAAAATTTTAGAAACTATACTGTTTGATCACTTTTACTGTTATTATTGGATAGCATGCATAAGCATATTATTGCCAATAAACCTTTTTTTATGAAAAAACAAAAATCTTTTATTCTGGAAACGAATGATTATGTAGAGGTGCATACTTCTCCGTCACTCCCATCAATTTCATGGTATGAGACTGAAAGTTCACATGGGCATATATATACATCGATATAAGTCTAGCACGACAATATAAAATATTCATGCATGGCCATTAATTTGGGGTTATTTTCCTCCTTTTTTTCCCTGTAAATGTATAATATACATACTCCGTATCAATAAATAAGAAAATTATTTTAGAATAGAAAGAAGTATTTAGTTTGTTGTTTACGGTCGGTCATCAAAGTTTGTAATTAAAGAATCAAGTCATTGTAATTTTTTTTGAATTTTTTTATTTTTATTTTTTTTTTGCAAAATGAAAAATGTAGAACGTAATGCAGTTGATCAACACGTTATGTTCAGAAAAATTACAGACTAATTTAATGGGATTTCAATCACAAGTTTTTAACCTTTGCAGATGGATCATGGGTCATATATATAGTCTCTTTTTGTTATTGGTAAATTATCAAGCCAGTTCGCCACAAAGTTTTACAGTCTAATTTCCTTCAAACTTAAATATTTGGAATTCATCTCACAAAGAAAGAAAAAAAAAAAGAAAAAGGAAAAAGAAGATAGCCAGAAGGACCACTTATTAGTTTGACAATATATCTTTCTGCAATATTACTGCTGTACGCTCTTAGTTTTCAAAATGAGTTAAATATACAAAAGTAAATAAATAAACCTAGATTGCAGCTTCCTAAATAAGCGTGTAATTGTGCAAGTGGTAAATTAAAGTAATGAAAATAACGCTTAATTTCTCTAGTATAATTTGAACTAAAAATGAAAATCCAAACTGGACAATAATTATGAGACGGAGGGAGTATATTTTTGGGGCGAAGAATAATATAACATTGCATACATTTTAATAATTGATTCCTCTCGTTTTTATTTTATTTTAATAGTTTTTTTTTTGTTAAAATAAATTATTTAAATGGAATGAAAGAAGTACATGTCAACGTATTGATAACTAGGTCATGGCAATACCTAATCTGAAAGTGACTAGAAGTCTATAACTTAATAAAATCAGAGTTAAGTCGTCAAAGTACATATATAAAAACTAGGCTCATTTTAAGCTAAAATCAGTGATTATCATGAAACTGAAAAATAATGAGTAGCAAAAGGCCTGAATTTTAGACTATTTCCGGAATCACTTAATTATTTACTTTTTATACACATTGACATGAGAAGAGGAGAGGATGCTACAATATATACTGCAACTTGTTTGACTTGAGTACAGACCAAACCTTTCATAATCCTTGTGTATTTATCAGTCAATCAAAATTTCATTCGTCGATAACCCCAATATATTTATATATATGAGCACAAAATAATGAAGCTTTCGTTTATTCAACATGCACTGTGGTTTCCATTTTTTACTTTTTTTTTTTTTTGTAATTGATGCAACATTGTAGTCTAATAAATCATATAATTAATTAATTAATTACATTTCTATCGTGTGATACCATTGCATGTTACATCATATATTCCATTTGTGAAGGGAGTCATCTATTTTATAACATCCTCCAAGGCTCTTAGTTACGTGTGAATGACACCCAACAATAAGTAATGTTTTTTTGGTTTTTTTTTTTTGGTAAATATGTCCGAACTCAATATTCTACTCATGTAAATATCAACATATCACGGATCCCTTTAATCAAATACTTATGCATCTCGAAAAGGACTAGAATTAATCCGAATTAGTTGGAATAATAAGCTCGAACACCAATCACCTAATATACCAAAAAACGATATTTATGCATCCCAATTAACTTGGTAAGTGGTATCACAACAGTTTATCTATGATTGTATCGAGATTTCACGCCAGCTTGAAGATCATATTTTAGCCTTGGTTATATATATTGTACATGTATCCAAACAATCAAGAAAGAGAAGAAAATGGTACTGGATTTAAAACCACGGTTCGTAACTAAATGACATCACTAGCACCAAACAAGATCGAGGGAACAGTATTCCAACTTGTAACAGTACAAGATTTGGACTAAACATTGTCTTTACAAAAGCAAGTACTATAGCATATGCTAAAAAATACTCATAAAATTTCTTCGATGCCTTTTATGGTAGGTTATAATATACAGGTGTGTAATGTAATTGAGCAGTATAAGTACGTTGATTAGTTTGGACATATCCTTAATCTGATCCACAAAATTAGTTTCATGTTCTCTAGGTTGTCGGATTCATTAATCTCATTAGCCAATCTTTGTTACAACATTAATCCAATAACAACAACGTAACTAAGTTATCTAGAATACCCAAAACAATGCTTTATGTTTCTCAAGGAGCTTTTTTTGCCTCTACTTACTTAAGAAGTAACAAAAAGGATAAAACTTGATTTTAACTAGTTTTTACGTGACTTTTTCTTGTCAGAAAGTCCATCTTTCTCCCTTTTTAAGCCACTTGGTGTTTGACTAAACACAGTTCCTAACCTTGGGGAAATGTAATTTATATATATATATATATATATATTGTCGTTTTTACTATTTTTATTTTTAACCTGCGAGGTGGTGGTTATTTTTTAAGTTTTTAACGAAGTGGATTAGAACCAACTCCTAGTGTCTACAACATGAACATGATGACAAATTAACCCCAAAAGTAGGAATAGATTAGGGGACAATCTCAATATTTTTTAGAATCCTTAGAATATTCGGTGGTCTCCATGACTCTCTCCTTGGATCATATATACACCTTGGAATAGATTCCATTCCAACTTGTATATTTACCCTTCATATATATGGTTTTTGTAGCCTTATAAGTTAAACATGGTTCCTTAGGGTTTTGACCAAATCCCTCCCGATGAATGCAGTCAAAAAGAACACAGCGTCTACATTTTACTGGATTTCTAGCTATCACTAATGTTTGCGAGCATCTGTACGTATGAACAGATAGATAGCTGCTGTGTTCATTCCTGAAATAAGTTCATCCGAATAAAGTGAAAATTAGTTTGTGTATAATATGTGTCTGCTTCAGATTATTTCATCATCTCTTAAAGAATACACTCCGTCTCAAAAAAATAGTTTACATTGAGTTTTGAAATTTGTATAAACTATTTTTGTATAAAAACTAGTACAAATCTCAAAACTTAATGTGAATTATTTTTTTAAACTATTTTTTTGAGACGTAGGTAGTACGAAATTTTTTAATATGATCATTTTGGGCATAGAGTAATCCTAAAATTCTAAGCCAACTACTTTAACCTTTGCCTACAACTTATCTACTTAGTTGTTAGTCACCGTTATAGATGGTTTATTTTTTATTGTAAGAGTAACCCCAACTATATAAAAGAAATTGATCCAACTGATGAGTGAAATAAATTTGACTAACAAAAACTTATAATTTAATATTGCAAAAAAAGAACACATATATAAACGTAGCATTTTCGTGACGGACAAATCAGATTAAACCTAATCTAATTTCCCTCGTGAACATCTATCTAATCATCTTCTTCACTATTTGAGACTTCTTTATTTTCTATATCTTTCTTTTGATTATCTCGCTACTTACCAAATTTTATTGATCAAATCAAAAGAAGAGTTTATAATTAAGACTAATTAAGAGTGCGTACGTGTCTGTGTCTTCTTCTTTTAGTCTTATTGCATGGTTGGCCCAGTTCATAAATCACAAGAAAAAAAAAGGAAAAAAAATAGAATTAGGTGACGGTTTCATTCTAGAAGTAAAAAAAATTCAGGAAAAAAAAAAGAAAAGAAAGAATAACGGGTTTGGAGATTCATATGCCATATGCCTAGGCAACTTCCGCGCAACTGCAGTAATATGTATACATCGACCCATCAATTATACTAATTTAAGGTTATTTAACCTAAAATTTTGGATTTTCCTTCTTGTCATCACGCTAGATTTATCATTCATGCATCGTTCGTGTTTGCTGATAGAGAGCAAAACTATACTATAACTCATTGCTTCGTATTCATTTTTTTTTTCTCATAATAAGAGTCATATTTAGTGTTTGTGAAGTCAAACAACAAATTAATCACTAATTTTTTCACTTATAAGTAATTTATACTCTTCGTAAATTCAATAATAATAATAATAATAATAATAATAATAATAATAATAATGGATGTATCAATTTTCGTCCAAAACGGAAGTTTACATTTATTTATTATTTGGGTGAATTATTAGTGTGAATCCGAAAAGGGCTCACATCACATATCATAAACACAAGACATGAACCTAAACATAGCCTCTTTCTCAAGTGCCATCCACAAAATAATTCCACCTCCATTTCCATTACCTCCAATATTACTCTTCTGATCATCATTATTAGATAACAGGAGAACAAACTCATCGTTCCCACTCGCAATCGGGCCGCCTCGAACCGGTTTCCCGAACCCGAAATCCAGCTCCTTGAAGGGCAGTTTCCACCAAGCTGAGACATAGAAAGTGCCATCACAGGTTGCAGGAATGCCTTTGTAAACTTCCAACCAATCAATCACTGACCGAATGTACTCATTTGTCACTCTTTCTCTCGCTTCCTTCATTTTCTCAACACCAAAAGAAAGCGGCATTTCTACCAAATCACTCACTTTTGCACTCGCAAAGGCCGTGATTACAGCATTTCCAGAGAAATCATTTGGCAATGGTGGCGAAATCCTAGACCTAATATCCACCGCGAAAAGAACGGTCGAGATTCGGTCATTCTTCATCAAAACTGCCTTTGTTCTTGCCTTCCAAATATGAGCCACAATAGCATCAAAAGTTGAGCATTTTGTCATGGCTTGTTTTTTCAGTGTATTGAGCATTTCAGGGCTGAAATGGAAGGTTTTGTGGACATATTTGTCAGAGAAGACAAGTGGAGATGGAGTTGTTCTTTCTTGTGAAGTGAATGATGAGGGAAGATTAGGAGTTTTTTGTAGCTTCACATATTCACTGTGTGGGAATTTTATCTGAGGAGGATTTCTTGCTTTAATACATGTCCGATCATTATTTATTGTCTCTACTTTTAGCCCTTCACCTCTGCAAATCGAAGCAAGATTGTGTAACATATCGCTTGCTGATTTTCCATCGTTAATGGAATGATGCATCGTGAATCCAATCGAAAATCCACCGCAACTAAATCTTGTCACCTGCCACCAAGAAAAAATAAAAGTAACAAAGTAATTGGACTAGAATATAGTGAAATTGCTTGTAAACTTTATTAACAGAGCAAAAAGTAGCATCCAGAATGAATTCCCGTCCTTTAGATAATATAACTTTTTTTTGGGTACTATTATTGGACAACAATGGCTTTTATGTATTATAAGAAATCAACTCCCACATTCTAGTTCTTAAGCGTACGTAATTTTTTTTCCCCTGAGTATTCATGGCAAAATGTACTTTTCCTTGTGTGTGTGTGTGTGTGTGTGTTTTCATGTAGCAACAAAAATATTTCCCCCGATAATGAGATTACCTGGATGGTGAAGAGTGCTTTCTCAGGGAGGCTCTTGTAAAGTCCCGGGCGATGAACAAAGTGATGAAAAGTTGGATTTGGCTGTGAAAGATTGCCAAGATCTTTCAATGTGAGTTCTGAAGTTGCACTCACAAACAACACTCCAGCATTGTTGCAAATGAGCTCCATTCTTTTGGCTTCTTCATTGAAATTCAGCCTTCCAGCCATGAAATAATAAGGCCCCAAAAGCACTTCCACAGCTTCTTTAACCCTTTGACCAACATTTAGGGTTGAATGGCTTTTCCCCGTAGGAACTTCAAAGAAGTAAAGTGTTTCAACTGGAAAACCAAGTGCTTGGTCAATGTTTGAAAGAAATATGGTCTCATTTTCATCTGAGCTTTTGGAGAACAGTGAAATTGGCTCTTCTTTCACTACATCTTTTTCGGTCAGGAAAATCCCTTCAACATTACAATCCCGCATGGTCAAATTTTGATTTAGCTATAGCTTCAAAATGTTTACTTCAAAATGCACACCAAATTTTTGCATTCCTCAAGGGTATTTATATATGCATCTCTTATGTATGTGGTGTCATTATTCAGCCATTTTCAAGAGACTTTTACCTTAATTTAATTTGCTTAATTTTTCTCAATCATTCAGTTAGTCTGAATCCTAAAACTTTTCGCATGAAATTTTCATTTCTTTTATAGTTTTTAAGCTATGATTGGTGTTTCGTTTAGTATCCTAATGTTGAGGGAATGTACCAAGGGTGTGTATATATATTTTACTTCCAATTCATGTTGAAGAAGCTAATGGGCTGATGATGATCATAGGGTTTTTGTTGGTCCGAAGTTTACTGGGTTGGGCAGTTTCTTTTTTCCAAAATACCTTTAGAGCCGTAAGCCCCACGTATGCACGTGTATGTCCAAAATTTTACCCTAAAATTTCAGTAATTAGTAATGATTAGTTTTACGTTACAGGGAAAAAAAAGTTATAAATAAAGACGGCATATTACCGATGGGCGATGGGTATTGATTCGGTTTTCTTTTTTTCTTTTTTTTTTTTACTGGAGATTGAATTTTGGCATAGACGAAACCAAAATTGTTTGGCGAGAATATATACGATTTTATTTTGGTAACAAGTGGGAGATACTATTCGAATTATAGTCATACTTACAACATTTTTCTTTAGGCTGATCGGTTACGTGCATACGATTAAACATATCGAATATATATATTGATTCATGTATCATAAGAAAGAAACTTTTTTTAAAAAAAAATTTTTTCTTTTTTTTTTTTTAAATTTATTTTCTTACAAAACAAAGGAAAACAAGCTTGAATGTTTGATTGAGAATCGTGTGACACCACAATATCACATTCATTATATTATATTATATTAATAGAGAAATCAGAAAGAAGAATGAATTGTAAAGCGTTATGCAAGACAAAATGATACGTGGCAAATTCTTAGAAAGTATTAAGAGCTAACTTTTAAAAATTATGGCCTAAGCCCTTTGAAAATGCATGTAGCAACAGTAATAACCCAAACGTCATTAAGGCTTTGTTAATGTTCTATTCAAAAGATTAGTTAAAAATTTCAAACAATCATTTTAAAAACTGGAAAATCAAATTCCAATTTGGCAAAAATACTAGTATTAACGGAAATAAAATTCATTAACTAACTAAATGTGTATATCCAATCCAAATATATAATCTTGATGAACTTGGGCCTATATAGGTTGTAAATTAGAATAAAATATCATAATATTTTGAATTTTGAAATTTGTTTAGAATTATGATAAGTATTAAACGCTTTCATTGGGAGACTTTGTTTCAGAAATAAAGTCCCTAAACTTTTCCCTAAACTTTGAGAGAGTTAAAATTTTTTGACACCCATCATTGTTTTAAACATCCATAATATAGTACTTACTTAAACCAGTAAACACTCAGAGAACACGTATCAACACTAAAACGAAAATTTTTTCTCCAAAACTTTTACAGTACAAAAACAAAGCAAGCAAAAAAAGCCACGTGGCACTTTAGAATTTCAGAAAAAATGAAACTTTAAATAACCCAAAGTTTAACTTCTAATTAGAAAAATAAGGAAAAACCGTAGTCAGTTTAACTTAAGTAATAAACATGATAATAATTACTCCAGAATGTCAGCTACCATGATCGCGTCTAAAAAATTCACTCTTTGAGTGATGCGTGAAGTGCAAAAGATGGATTATCATCCAAAAATCTCTCAGATTTCTTAAGCGTGATGCAGCAAACACAGGTCCATCACCCTTTAGGAAGTTAGAAAGCAACAACTAAGGACATTTTCGATGAAGTGTCATTATGTCATTTTTGTTAAGATCAACCATTGTGGAGATGTAATCATGCAAGAGGGTTAAGTCTAACAATATGACATAGTGACACTGTCCAAGGGAGAAAACATGATTTATCACTCCATAAACCACCACTTTGAATAATTTTGGAGAGTTCTCCGCTTTCTTGGTCAAGCAATGCTCTCAAAAATATCAAACTCTTTTGAATCATTTCAACGTGATATCTTCCCAGCGACTTCAAGGGGGTTTCGGTGTTGATAAGAACCAACAACATCGCCTCTGCCTTGAAAAGCACAAAGCTCTTAAGACCTGATTCGGAAGTACCTTGCTGCCTTTTTGAGCCCTTGGCCTCTTCTCTGAGCAAAGCATCAATGATTGCCAATATGGATTTGTCTCGTTCATCCATGTATGCCTTCGGGATTTTGAAGAACTTACCAAGGAATTTGAAAGCATCCCTGATGGAGACAACTTCCGCACGGGTAGAAATCATGAGATTGGATTTCTGATTGTGGAGCTCAAGTGAAGCTGGACGATTCCTTTGATGTTTTTCTCCAGAATTTGGTAAATTGGGATTAAAAAAAAGTTATAGAATTTCCCTCTTTCCGATTAAAAAAAAGAAAAGAAAAAGAAGTTACATATGAGATCTTACCATTAAAATGTAAAGAATACATGCGATGCATCAAAGTAATTTTACAAATGTTTTAATTTGACATTTATATAAGTCAAGTATATCTATTACATAAAATTCTAGCTAGTGGAGTAATGCATTTATATTGCCGTGAGAGAGTTGTCTAATCAATCGAGAAATGAAACTAAAAGAGTATGAATGAGTTTTAGAATACATGTCATGATATATCATTGAGCCACCTATTGTGACGTTTTCTCCTGAAGGCAAAAAAAAAAAAAAAAAGAAAGAAAGTGATCATATTTGATTTATGCGGATGGTTATAAAATATGTTCTTTCTTCTATTTTGTCATATGTCAATGGTGTAATTTTAGTTTGAAACAAATGCATTTGAAGGGGTAAGAACTTAAGAAGATAAGTGAATATGGAGAGTTGATTTTTGTTTTTAACTTTTGTTTGTTAACCAAAAACAAAAAATAAAATTTGTGAAGTTTCTACTTTATATCTGATGGTGTGTAACCAAAGTTGTTCATTCAATCTTGAACTAGGTAAAAGATGAATTAGATGGAAGAAAAATGGAGTTACATACTACTGAAGAAACAAAAATAAATCTCCTTGCTGAAATGCTTCTTTGAAGGATGGAATTGCGGACATTTGAGAAGAGAATGAAGAAGGTAGTATATCTGATTTTATATGAAGTTAATGGATATGCTTATATGTACCTCCTACTTGTGAAGTTATTTTCTTCGTGTATGATGGTGTGTAATCAAAACTTTTGTTTATGAAATCTTGAACCAGTTAAAGAAACAAAAAATCATCGTTGCTGAAGAAAAAAATCAATAAACTCCTTGCCGAATTGTTTTTTTAATATCCTAATGTTGATGGATATGTACCAAAGGATGTGTTTACTTCCAATGTTGAAGAAGCTAATGGGTTGATGATGATCATAGTGTCACACCATTGGACTGGATAGTAGGAATTAATAATGCAAGGACTAGACTGTAGTTTTGGAAACAAGGTCACAATTATATATAGTTTGACTTCCAAATGTAAAAATCATCTTTGCTGGTTAATGAAAATTCGATACATCCCGATTCTCTTAATCACTCTCTCACTGTTTATCGTTCTTGAACACACCAATCCTCATTCCCAATCTATGGTTTTATCTAATTCTAAATTCAGACCGTGCCACATATCCGGTTTTTGCTAGCATTCGTTCTAAATTGATTATTACGTTTAAATTTTCACTTCTAATATAACTTATGTTACACATAAAAATTTAAACTAGACAATCATTTCGGGGTGGAGAGATTAATTATTAGTTCTTCCATTAAGAAATAATAATAATAAAGACAAGAGTTTGAATTTTGGCATAGAAATTTAAAAACGGTATGTTTCATTGTTTTGAGATACATTTCTTCTGTGCTGTGGGTTTCTTTCTTCCCCGTCGATTTCTTCACTCGTTTCCCAAATTAGACTTCCTCATTTTTTTTTTTTCCTTTCATTTTTTAGGTTATGTACAAGATGAACAAATATTAATCATCCGTTTATGGAATGTCAGTTTCATTGTTTTCATTCGTGAACTAAGACATTACAAAAGCTGTAGGCTTACTATTAATCTTACACCGAAAAACAATGTATAAAAGAATGACAAAGTCGTACTCTGACCATTAACCTAACATCGAGAAAAACAAGTCTATGAAAGAATCATGCTTAACACATTTTTGTTTAGGCTTCTCTGGTACGTGATACACTATGTTTATTTTGTTAGTGTGCAGTTGAAGAAACACTTGCCAATTTTCAAACCCTATGGTCATAGCGACCCCGTTAAATTTTTTTACCATTGTTCAATTAAACGTAGTGATTAGTGAAAGATAAGAAAGAAACTTTTTTATTTTTTTTTAGAAATTAAAGGAAAACAAGTTTGTGTTAGATTGATAATCCGCATGACACTATAATACTACATATATAACTTTCTTTCCCCTCCTATCTATAAACAAAATACGATCAAGGGGGATTTGTTAATTAATTGGTAATATATATATATATATATATATATATATTTGCCTCACATGCATCATTAATTTATGCATTTTTTTGGTAACCAAGATGTTACTTTAGTTTCCAATGTGATCATCTAAAACAAGTTTATTTATCATATGTTTAATTTAATGTAACCATTTAATTTTTATCGGTCGTACAAGTACTATCTATCATTAAAAAATAGTGTGACACGTTAATATTAAGATAATGCACTAAATACGGCAGCAGATATATACATTTTTTACCTTTTGTTTTGTGGTTATCATTGTACCCATACTATATTAGTACACATTATCATATTCATGTAGTTTTATTTCATTTTCTATTTTTCTAAGAAATAATTAAAGATACATACTTCTTTCTTCTTATGGGTCATTTTTCTTTCAAAAAAAAAAAAAACCTTTTTAAGCTAAAATAGTTTTTCTTTTACTTTTCTTTTTCCCATAAGTGTTCCTCCTTAAATTGAACATTTTACGGGCTTATAAACAGTATTAAGCCATCAACTAAGAAAGCCCTAGCGGCCCTAGGTTAAGGAGCTCACAGTAGTATCATTTTAATTGGGCCAAGTTAAAACCCTAAAAAAAAGAGTTAATCCTTTCCATTTAAAGGCCCAATTGTTAGAGCGTGGCATTTGGGTTTGCGTTATTTTACGGCGTTGACTTGTGTTTTACGTCGCCTTCAAGACTTTCAACCAATTCATTCAACAATGATCAACCCAAAATCAACGTTTCTATATGCATGGGCATTTGTTATTATTATCGTTCTTTTATTCCACAAAGATAACATCAAAATATACAATAGATGAACATTAATCAAAAGGCCAACGGTAAGTGTATTCTGTTAGATTAAGATGGTTGATTTTAAGATTTGAGTTAGAATCGTGATTATTGATTTGTTCCGACTCTCAGAACAATATGTTATAGCCTTGTCATCGACTGTAAAAATGTAATAATATTAATGCATGTTTCCGTTATAAAGAAAAATCTTCGGCGGAAAAACAATCAAATGGAAATTATTAAGTCCATTTTTGACATGAAAGTTTTCGACGATTTATAACATATGGAAATTGATTTCGAGTTTCTTACCAATTAATCAGTGTAATATTATCTTTTTGCGGTCACTTTCAACGTGTCGAATTGTCTCCCTTCCTTCTATTAGGATCCCGATGATGTAAATTTAACTCTATCAATTATTTTGTCACATTACATTACAACTCGTTTACGTCAATTTATATGATGAGTCTCAATTCACTAAAAGATTACAACCGATGAAATAAAATTGCACCAATTTAGAAAACATTACATTTGAACAGTTAAGTGTCGATTTCAATTTTGTCAAGAAAAATTAATATTCCAATAATACAAATATAATATCGATCGTATTTCAAGTTAATTCATTCTTGTGAACCTCGATCTTATTAAATCTCATCCTTTTTTTTTTTTTCTTTACTACTCATCGATCCCACAACATTACAATTACAATTCTTTAACACAATATGGTAATCGATTTCGTAAATCTCATTCGGTTGTTCATTTAACCTGGCAGGGGGGCCATTTACGGTAACTATTAACCCTCCACTTCAGAGTTAAGATCGCTTTTAAACGGTAATTTTTTTCCACCACCGTAGAATTCCTTCTCATGCGACTTTGCGGTGGGCTTATGCGGCGCTGACTTGATTTAGGTAATCTCTCCTTCGTGGATTTTCTTCTATTATTTTAAAAATATAGATCCAAAGCTTCGATTTGTTTCATGATTTGCTTCCTCACATTAATTATTTGTTTATTATCATTTGTATAAAAGAAAATATACAAAATTTCCAGTTCAGCAACCTTTTTCCGTTTCTATATTGAGTTCCTAAATCAAGCAACCTTAAGAACAAATTTTTTATTATTTTATTATTATCCAATCATTAAAATTATTGGCAATGTATATAATTTCAAATTTCTTGATACAATTTTGTGCAGATTATATCCTAAAAGATTTAAGGAAAAAAAAAAGAAAGAAAAGAAAATTAAAAGCCTAAAAGGCAGTCACGCCATCATTCTACCACACAAGCCACCGCCGCAAAACTGGAGCGTGCAATACACGGCTCGCAGTATTTTCGCTCCTTTTATTTTTTGAGTGGTGTTATTATTATTTTTTAGACTTTACTCTTCCTATTTTTTTTTTCACGTTTGTGATTAACTCGTTTAGAAGGAAAAAATTGCAGGTAAGCATATCCAATCATGTGTAATTGAAAAAAAAAGGAATGATTTGACACATATACAAAGACAATGTTTCGTTATACAAACATTTTATATGTTCTTAACTAACGTTACTTTGAATACAATATATAGTTACTCATATCTCGGTCAAACTTATTTTATTATATATTATTTATTATTAATAAATTAAATATAAATAATAACTATAAATCAACATATAACAACATATATTATATGTTTCTTTTAAGAAAACTAAACATATTAGAAATATTATATCACATTACACAAAAAGGTAGTAGTAAATATGTATCAAATATAATGCTAAAAAAACTTAAAACATTCAATGTTAAATTGACCCGGTACAAATTTAACAAGTAATCAAGTCCAACATAACGAATTAATCGAATATATACATAATATTACTTAAAGTTATCACTAACAGAATGATAATATATAAAGTATCAAACCCCATGCAAAAATCTAAAAAACCATATCATTTTTGTTCTGCATCTACTATCAAGTTTGAGTTAAATTTTTTGAAGAAAATAAAAGATCAAATGAAATGAGTCGACGATGTGTTATAATTATAGTAACAAATGTGACTGAAAGTAATATATAAAATGTCATAAGCAAAACAAAGCAAGTTATTTAAAGAGAGTGATGATATGTTTATTGAATAGTTCAAACTATAACGTAAAATTATCATTATGACTCACGTGATACATATAGAAAAATTTCTTTTCTCCCTTATCATTATGTGCATTCATTAAAAAATGTGTCAGTAGTGAATAACCTAAACGGATCAAATACGGACCAATCCAAATATTATCATACGTATCCATTTAAAACACCTTCATGTTATATGAGAAAAGAAAAAAAAAAATTTACAGAACTGAAATCAAGATTCACATAATCTCATGATAATTTTCTCATCCCAATCTAGGGCGCGTGGTAAACGAACTAAAAACCCCCACCCCTCAAAACTGGACCCCATATCCCCTCTTCTCTTTACTACCCATAAAAATTCACACACACACACACACACTCTATCACACTATTATATATAGTACCGTTCTTCTTTTCTTCTCTGTAAATTGAGGCAAAATAAAAAAAAAAAAGGAAATATAAAAGAGAAGAAATTCGTCTTCCCATTTTATTTTTTATTTTTCCATTCTCCAATTTCTCTTCTGTTTCTCTCTCTCTCTTCGAAATCAACCATGAAGGCTTAGCTCCCTCCTCCCTCCCCTATTTGAAGCCCAGGTTGGAAAACTCTTCCAAAAATTCCTTCCCACTTCACACACAGTCACGCACTGATTGATACAACAACTTATGTATGTTATGTAGCACGTATATGTACAAGATTTCATATGTCTTCATGTAAAAGTACAATTATTTTTATTTTTTGTATGATTTTTTTTCCTGATATGTACTCACGTTTTCTATGTTTTTAATCTGATACTTGCAGGCCCATTCCCTTAACTTGCCTTCCTTCACGTGACTTTGAAGCCCTTTTGAAACTGTTTTCTGGTAATGATTTCTTTTTGGGTTTTTCAATTTGTTGTTGTATACTTGGTGTTCTGTTTTTTCTTTTGCTGCTTTTTATTTCTTTCGTTTTGGGAAGCGGTGGGCCTGTGTGTTGAATGTGTGAGTGTGTGTGTGTGTGTGTTTTTTTTTTTTTTGGCTTGTTAAACACGATTAAGCGGCGGGTTTTCTGAGGTGTTTTTTTTAGTGTTAATGGAGTATGAATTGGAGGGATCGCATTCGATTTAATGGGAAAAAAGATGGTTCGTTTGCAACAATGATGAAAAGTTTCAACTCTATTTCTTGCATTATTTTGTCTGTTTTGTTCGTGATTACATAATCTATTTGCTTCTTTTGCTTCCCTTTTGTTCTCCTTTTGTTTTCCGTTTCTGATGGTTTTTTTTCTTACGGGCTTTGTTTTTTTTTTTTTTTCTGTACAAAGTTGGGGTCTTGCTGGCATTCGTGTGATTTAATGTGGGTTGTTAACATAATCCAGGGCTATAGTTCTCTGCTTCTGTAACTAAGTTGGATTGTTTTCTTGGCTTTCAATGGATCTGGGTTTTAGCAATTCTCATATTCTCTGTGCAGCAAAGCTTCATCCCTTGTAGTTACTGATACTCATGGTTAGAATTTCTTTCTCTCTTTTTTTTTTTTTATTTTTTTTTAATTAGAGTTGTTCAGTAATTTCTTTAGGTTTTTTTTTTATTTTCATTGATTATTTTTCCTGCTCTTCTGCCTCTTGTTGAATCCTTGCTGTGAAGCATTGAATTGGAGTTGGTTCTCATTTCTCTCTAGCTGCGAAAAATGCAATTATTTTCTTGGTTTTTTTTTCTTCTAATCGGTTTGTTACGTGTTCACTTGTAACTGTTCTGTTCTGTTGTGTTACTTCCTTATCTGAACTGGGGAAGAGGTCACCATTTTGTTTTTATTCTTTTATGCCTCATTATTGAATTTTTACCATGGTGATTTTTGCTTCATGTATGTGTACTTCTGCGGTTTAGATATGACATTTAAACAAGAGATATATATTGTGATTACGGTGATTTTTCTGGTGCCTCATGCAATAGAAGAAAAATAACCTTGTCAACATTAGCTTTAAGCTCTCTTGATTTTAATAACTTTGAAACTTTGCCTTCTTTTGCAAATGTGTTCTTGGCTCATTTGTCTGACATCCTCCTTTTTATGTTCTACAACTTTTAGGAATTTCTGATGTGAAGCATGCGTGTATTTGGTCTTAATATATTTGCTTAATCATTCAACCGTTTCCCTTTTTCCTTTGTTTTTCTGCCATCCTGACCAATTTATAAATGGTCCAACCCATTATTTTTAAAACTTCTTATAGTAAATTTTTCATTTTAATTTTTGCTCTAGGCATTTAATTTCTAGGTAATGTGATGTGGCAGTTGCATGCTTTGGCTTGCTGCATTTGCATCTTGAGCTTGCATATCCAAGTTTACCTTATGAAACTGTTATGGTTCTTCTTTGCAGATGGATCCTATGGAGTTAGAGGAAAATGGGCATATTAAGAATGAGATTTCTGTTGACCGCTTGCTTCCTCCTGATGACTCTGCGAGTTGTGATCTTTTCCGTGAACAGGACATTTCTCCTCGGATTGGAGCCGATTACCAGGCTGAAATCCCTGAACCGGTTCGAAGGTCAGATTATCTCTTAATTTCTAGGAATGTGGACAGAAGTGAGAATGTTGCTATGGAGTATCTTGTGGGATTACCGATTCCTGTGCTCCTAATCAGTCAAGAACATGAGAATACAAAGGCTGAAAAAATAAAGGCTCGTCAAAGTTTAAACCCATCAAGAAAGGGAAGAGGCGAAAGTGGGAGTCTAAATGTTGACCCTGTGAATGTTGGATCGCTTGATGAGCCAGCAACTAAACCCGGTTACTCAGACTATAGCTTTGTCCCTCTTTCTGCGACAGGTTGTTGGACTGACATGGAAACGTCTAGTTTTCTGCTTGGTCTCTATATATTTGAAAAGAACTTTGTTCAGCTTAAGAAATTTGTTGAGACTAAAAGCCTAGGTGAAATAATGTCCTTCTACTATGGGAAGTTTTATCGCTCCCATGAGTACTATAGATGGTCTGATTCTCGGAAGATGAAAACTAGAAGGTGTGTATTTGGTCAGAAGATATTCAGTGGATTAAGACAACAGGAGTTCTTATCTCGTATTTTTAGGAGTGTCTCAGACGACTGCAAGAATGCTTTGTTGGAGGTATGTGATAGCTTCAACTCATATTTTTAATGAACTCTCTTTTGCGAGTTCATCTAAAAATTTGATCTTGGGAGGAGGTGTTAGCTGTCTCTATCTGCTTCTGATTGTTTTTGTTTATCCTACTAAAATACTTGGACCTAATGCTCCATCTGAACAATGCTTCTTTTCACACCTCTATTTGTAGTACATAGTTTCTTTATGACTTTGGCTGATCAGTGTATATGATTTCATGCTTTGAAGAGTTTCTCAAGATGTCCACATTGATGCAGTTATTCTTGTAAATTCCCCTATCGGATCTCTGCAAATTACTCCAGTGATTGTCTGGAGCTTTCTCAACAGATAGGGTAGAAAAGGAAGTTATAGAGACGAGTTCAACATTGATGAATTGTCCCTTGATTAGAGTAACTTCTAAATGCAGTTAACAGTTTGCATAAAATTTCCAAGACATTTTTATTGTGACCACCAAGTCCAAGCCCAACTTTAAGAAATTTTTTAGAGTTGTAATTCTTAGATAATGCGGTCTCTCTCTCTCTCCACACACCCCCCCCCCAGTGTGTGCTTGTCTCATTTTCCCTATTTGAGTGCAGATCTGTACTGGGAGCAACTTATGAATACATTTGGTCCTTAACTTAATGAAAATTTCACTGTATCCAGGCCATATTAGAATAGCTGTTTCTAGTGCATGTCATCGTACTCTTGAATTATCTTGATTTCCTCATAGAGACCTGTTTTTTTCCTGCTTGTTGATGCAGGTTTCCAAGACGTTTGGTGAGGGGAAAATGTCACTGGAAGAATACGTCTTCTTGTTAAAAGCTATGGTGGGAACGAGCATGCTTGTGGAAGCCGTGGGTATTGGTAAAGGGAAACAAGATTTGACAGGTATGGCCTTAGAACCTTCGAGATCCAACCATTCGAACCAATTGCGCCCTGAGATTCCTACTGGAAAGGCGTGCCAATATCTTACACCTAGTGAAATTGTGAAGTTTCTGACTGGAGATTACCGATTGAGCAAAGCTCGGTCCAATGATTTATTTTGGGAAGCTGTTTGGCCCCGTCTTCTGGCAAGAGGCTGGCATTCGGAGGAACCCAAAGATCTGAGTTATGCTGCTTGTTCGAAGAACCCGCTGGTCTTTCTTGTGCCCGGTATCAAGAAATTTTCCAGAAGGAGACTTGTTAAGGGAAACCACTATTTTGATTCCGTCAGTGATGTTTTGAGCAAAGTTGCATTAGAACCCAGTTTGATTGAGCTTGATAGTGAGAACAATGAGAGCAAGGGAAATCAAGAAGAACTTGAGGCAAAAGATAACACAATCTTGGAAGATGATGACATTCCTACTCGAAAGCGACGTTATCTTCAACTACCGAGTCGCGGCACTGAGTCCATGAAGGTTACCGTCCTTGATACAGGTGACATACAGGAATCAAAAACTCACAGAATAAGTGAGTTAGGAAATGTAGCCAATACATATCTTTCCAAGAAAGTCAAATCTGGGAATCGTTTCAAACCTAGTGAAGCGGGTACTCCTGCAGAGTCGGTTGACGTGGATACCACAGTCGCAAATAAGTGTGATATTAATATTTCAAATGGCACAGATAATCTGCCAAAGGGCGACCTGTTTTCTAATAGGAAAGGTCTCCAAATAAGTGTTCCAAAGTGGGAGAATGATTCCTCCTTTCCAGTTTCAGAAAATATACCGGTGAATTATCATGGGGAGAAGGTTCTTTCTGAAGATAAAAAGTCCAAAAAGGAATTGAAGACACGCCAATCAACTCAGAGGACCAAAGAAGACAATGTCCAAGGTATGGGCCCTGTAAATAAGCGGGCCCGGAGATTAACTGTCTGTAACCAGCTTGAGCCAAGGAATATCACCGTGAGTTCATCAATCTTTCCTGCCTTGGAAGCACAATTGCCGACACAAAGCATGGATCTTTGTAATTTCACTGAAAACATTTGCCCCCAGGATTCCTCCCCGGAGAAGCTGTTTGTGAGTACTGAATCGAAGGGCTGCCTTGGTGATGATAGTGTTGCATGTGAGAATGTCCAATGTCATGTGGTCTCCATTCCTCAGGAGAGCTCTCAAAATCAGACTCTGATAGATCTGAATATACCTCAAATTCCTCCAGACTTTGAAAACGATGTCTTGATGGAAGATGCAGCCGGAAGCAAAGATAACGAGGCAAGTAACTCTATGGGTGATAGTGTGCCTCAACCAGAAACAGATGTAGTTACTTCTGAGCAGCAGCCCAATATGAACCAACAAAGGCGGGGAACAAGGAACAGGCCACCAACTTCAAGAGCACTTGAAGCTTTAGCAAATGGTTTTCTGACTGTAAATACGAGACGGAAGGAAAAAGAAGCCGGTTCCCGCTCGCGCCGGCCTCCACGAGCTTCGCTACATGTTCGTGGAAATACTCCACCTGCACCTGCAATGCAGTCGTCTCATCAGCCAAATTTGGAAACTGCGGAGTTCAGAACCGAGTTAATTGTCACCTCCCTGGGTTTCAAAGCTGAAGGAAGTCCAAATGTTGCAGGTACCAATGCAGACCATGTCCCATTCAAGAATTTTGAGGTTTTATCACCAGATAATAGGGCACCATCAGCTTCAGGAAACTAATTTAGTTAGATTAGGGTCCAATCCAGCATTGGAAATGGACCTGCAGACAGGTTCAGTCTTTGATGAGTTCGTGCTTCAGTCATTAAGTAACTTCTGGTGACTTTGCTGGAAGTTACAAGGCAACATGATTTGTTTGTCTCTATCGCACACCAACTCCAAAACATGTAAAATGCAGAAGTTAAAGCTCCTGACTTCGAATCTTGCTGTTTGGTCCTTCTGTACAGATTTATACCGATCCGAAACAGATGGTTGGAAAGAGTAGTATTTTGTTCCATTTTCCTGAGGAAAAAGAAGTGATTGATCTAGTTGTACATCATTTCGAACCCCGGGTTTTTATAAGTAGCTGATGCATTACTAGAAGGAGAGAAAAAGAGGCAATTTCTTCTTCCGGTTTGCCGATTTTTGTGTTTGCCCTCCTTTGTCAACATATCAGCCGGCATCATCTGAGATTCCTGTTTTATAAACCTTATCAATCATAGAAATGAACCCATCTTTTTTTCTGAAATGGTTGAAAATATTGGTCCATGAAGTAGCTTTTTGGAAGTTAATAATTAAAGTTTGCATTAACTGTTTTCTTTGGTTTTGATTAGCACTAATTTTCCTTCATTCGAGTCTAGGCCGAAGCAGTTTAAGAGTTTTAGTAGCTGCTGTGAGTGTTTCATATCGGCAAAAAATAGATATGAAATTGTATGCTTGATATATCATTCATATCCTCAAGGCCGCATTTTTGGCTTCAAAAATATACATTGGATTCGTTCATGATTTAGCAAACTTTGGTAAGAACTTTTGCTCTTCAACAAACTAAACTATCCTAAGAACTCTTCACAGAGAGATCATTATTGTTTGTGTAGCCGAACTTTGTTTTTTTTTTTCTTGACATAAAACAACATCTACTGCATAAATTTGCCCAATTTATTAAACATGTAGACATTTGGCATTCCTGTCTACTTAATCTATTTTCCACTCGTAAGTTGTTTTGTCAAGTGGATTATATCACTTGTGAGCTGTAATGTCAAACGAAACCTATTGTTAAGGTGTCTGCTGATTGTGCGTCACTTTATATATTGTTAAGGTGTTTGCTAATGGTGTGTCACGTCATATAACAAATATAGTAAAAATTTTTTTGGCACTTTTGTCTCCTAACAATTGATAAATTTATTTACTACTACTAATCTGAATAGAGGTTTTTAATTTTAATAAAGTGAAAGTACTCATTTTTTTAGGAAAAAAAAAATTGTATTCCATTCCAGATTGTTTTAGTATGATATAAAGACTTATATGAGATCGAGAGAAAATAAATATATATATATGTATACTAAAATTATTACATATATATATACTAAAATTATTACAATATAGACAATATTGTTATTTTTTTCACTAATAATTGTTTGCTTTTTCAAAAAAGAAAAAAGAAGAAAAAATTAAAAACTGAGGCAGTAAATATTTATTCAAGAGTAAATGGGACGTGCTTTAGCTTAGACGAGCCACGTTGATGCTGTATCGGTCTCTTGTCTTCATCTGCTTACATAGAACCTTACACATACACAGACTGATGAATCCTGGAGATTTCTAATTGAAAGAGCTTAATTTTACTCCGATCAACCATTTTTCCGGTGATCAGGCAGTCGATTACTGTGAATTTATCCAATTTTAGAGAACAATATAATACTCTGAGCCTGATAGTCTAATACATTTTGGGGGAAGGAAAAATAATGGGTCAGGCATTTCGTCGAGCAACTGGAAGGACTGGTAGTACGACCGTCAGTAGGGCGCCGTCCCAGCCGAAGAAACCCGTTGAAGTAAGGCCGCCACCGCCGGAGAAAGTCAATCCTGACAATGTGAGAACTTCCGCTGCCCATGGTAAGTGGAGCTTCTTGTATTGTACTCTCTCTCGGTTCAATAATTTGTGCTGCTATTTTGGTGTTGATGAATGGTTATGGGTCTAATTCATTTTGTATTCTCAATCTGTACAATCAATTTTGAAACAGAACCCATTGTCCAATTCATGTTTCTCGGATTTTTCTGCTGTCAGTTATACTGGGATTAGGTGGTATGAAGTAATGTAGAAAAACTTTGTCAATTAGAACAGATAAATATGCATAAGGGTATCCCTTAAATGGTGTAAAGTTGCTTCCTTTGAGCTTCAATGTTTTTCAAATTATACCAGTTATTTGTGTTTGAATTCAGCTGTGATGCTGTTAAATCAGTAATTGATTACATTTTTTTGACCTTAGAGTTAAATGTTTTGGCACCCTTGTGAAGAAAGATTTAGCCTGAAGGATGTGAGACATCTGATAACTCAATATGGTCTGAGTGAACTGAATTGTCGGGATTCTTTTTAAGAAACAGAAAATGGATCTTTGTATTTATTGATGGCGTTTATGTTATGTTTGATCGTAACCCTTCGCAAGAATGATGAACATTTTGGCTGGTTCAGGGTTGCTTATTAAAATTGATGTTTGTGAAGGTGTTTTTAACACGTTTAATCAGTGACTGTGTTTCTTGCTTGATCAGAGACCAATGCGAAAGCTAATGCGGAGAGTGTTCTTGAAGACCGAAATCCGCAATTTGATGCAATGCTCAGTCATATGGTGGGGAGGATTCGAGCAAAACCGGGAGGGAAACTTGAGATGGGTGAGGTGAGTTTATAAACCATTGTTATCAATCATATAAGAAACTTCTGGAGAAAATTTTCCATTGATTGCTATTCCGTTGATGCCTGATGAGGGATCTAGTGGGAGTTTAATGAAATTTTGCGGGTTTTTTTAGGGATTCCCAGAGTAATTTTACGTTGAGAGTATGATAGTGTATTCTTAGCATAATACAATGAGCTGCATGTACAAGACAAATGTGTGTTCAGTTCCACTTCCCTTCCTATTAGTAGTCTCATCCTTTAGATTATCTAGCACTGTCTCCACATTTTCATCTTGGTCTTAGGCCTTTAATGTAATATAGAAAACATGAGTATGCATTTGCAGTATTTCCCTGAAATTGCTTTTGAAAGAAGAAATTCATTTTTTCACTCAGAAGTTTCTCCTAGGGCTGTTCGTCTGATTCAGTTGTGAAAGATAATCCTGTTCCATAAAGATATGCCTTCGGCAATTAAGTTGCATGGCTTGCGTTAGCAGAGGTTTTAACTCCCCGTTTTACTACATTACCTGTTGCATGGTAAATGCGTCTGTTCAAATGGTGATTTGTGAAATTCGGCCTCGTCAACTTTGTAAGAAGTCATGAACTTTCAATGAACAGAAACCTCGAATCTATGATTTGGTATTGTTATGGATTATATTTGTTAACTTAGACTGTATGTAATAAGGTTTGGCCTCGTTTCTTCCTTTGAGTGGGACCAAGAAAGATAAATCTGTATTCTTCTTCCCATTTACAATTTTCTGGCGAATGTATTCGTCTTCTTGAGTGTACTCTTCTTCATTTTTTTAATATTATCCAATTTAACAGATTTGCCAGCGATTAATTTTAGCTTGAATGACAGGCATTTGTCGTGGAGAAGTATGATAGGCCTTTGCCAAAACTAAGAAATACTACACCAGATTCTGGGAGATACGAGGAAAGGCCAGCTCCTCCAGGAACCTTAAATGTGGCACAGCTAAGGCACATAATGCTTCTTTATCAAGGCAAGGCTGATGACCACATTGGACGTATGGAAATTCCTCAGATCGCCGAGCGGTTCAGGATTGATGTCACGCAGGTTCAGAAGATCCTGCAATTTGTGTCACTCCCTCCAGAAGACAGCAGTAAGAGGAAAGATGATAAATATTCATAACATTCTAACTCGTTTAGTTTTGATCTGTTTTTTTTTTTTTGTAAGGCTCTGCTCACAATAGTTTTCAGAAATGATAAAAGTAATCAACAAGAAAGGCTTATGTTACACATATGAAACATTGTGTAGTTTAAAAGGAGAGCTGGATTTGCTGTTTTGGTTACCTTTAAAGACGTGGTTTACATAACAGCGCGATGTCCATGTGATCAGGATCTCCCATCTGTGAAACGTTTTAATTTAACTTTGTCACGCTCTAGCTTTCTTCTTTGTATTGTCTAAAAAAAAAATAAAAAAAATAGAACAGAAGTATAAAATGAGAAAACTCAGTAGATTGGAGATACAGATAACATCCTCTTTCTGTCGCGGATGTAGACTTGATGGTGAATCATAAAGTAGTTGATAGCCTAATCTTTTTCTTTTTCCCCATTACTATTACTCACGCTGTCTCAAAATTATTGTCCAGTTTTCAGTTTGAGATTTCACTTATAGTACAATTTAAATTAGAAATGAAAAACCCAAACTGGACAATAATTATGGGACGGGGAAGTACAGTAAGAAAAGTTTAAGAACTTAGGATTTTTAAATAATCACATCCATCACGGGAAAAGCCTGATCATATTCTAATGTGGGTAGAGAGGTTTTTAGTTGTCTCTTACGGACTTCTAATTGACTGTACGCCAACCACCTTTGAATTTGGTCATTACTACTACTATTTTATATTAGGCTCCATTAAAATATTGCCTAGCCAGAATCATGTCACATTTTTATTCCTCCCTAGGAAATTACCTTACTTTTAGATCATATTCCCACTCAAAATCAATGCTACTTGTATTGTTTTATGGTACCATATTGGCCTATAAATAGAGGTATCAGAATCGTCCCAATTCCCACGCCTCATAATATCCTCCTCCTATATACAGTTTGTAAACACATCTTTCCTTAGCCAGTTTTTTAAGAATGGGAAACCAACTGATGAACAAGAACCTTCTTCTTCTTCTTGTCCTAGCTCTGGTAATATCGCTAGCATTAAACGCGAAAGTCGTGGATTCGCAAAAACATCCTGATGATTGGTGCATTCCGAATCGGTGTAACCTAGAATGGGAAGCGTGTCAGAAGGTCTGTCTGGTTAATAACAC